CCCCAGAGCACCCCATCCTGCTCCCAGTCCAGCCAATAGCAGAATCCCCTTTGATTCCAAGGGGAGCCTAGGTGCTGGAACTGGGGGTGCTGCTTCACCCCCTGGCTCTAAGTGGTTTCCATTATCTACTGGATTTACAGTTTGGTTCAAGGGCTATCAGCTCCCCCACCTACAAATTGTCCCAGCGCCCCTGAACGGCAGTGGATTATAGAGACGTAGAGTGCAGAGCTCAGGCCTGGAGGTTTTGTTCAGTAACAAATAATCCTGGATTGTATCTATTCGTCCTTCTTCAAGGCATTCTTTGTTTAGGAATCCTGCGGCGGGGAGGCCTTCCGGGATCCAAAGTGACCACACAGTTATGAAAGGCAGGAGATTTGCTGGGAGGTTTTGTCCACGGAAGCGCCTTTTAAAAAGCCTTTGAACTATTTAAAACAGCCCCTTCCTTATTTAAAAGAAAACCACCGCAGAAGGGGGTTTGAGATCTGAAAATTGCCCCTGATCCGAAATAGTCCCCAGCTCGACTCTTTGCCGAGCTCTGGGCCCTGTCTGAGTGGAGCGGGGGAGCGAAATGCACTCAGCTTGGCTGCAGAAGGAGTCCGCAGGGCTGTAAAATAAATAAATAAATAACAACAACCATGAATCTGAAGTTGACAGAAACATCTTGGGAGAGAGGCTGGCTTCTGGAGCTAAGACACCAAAGAGAAAGGGGTTGAATCCGGATTGATTGATTTATGGAGGGGAGGGCAGGTGGGAAGGCCAGCTGGAATATTTTCTGGACTGGAGAATGACTTCACAATATTGTTGTCCATGTCATGTTGTGCATGCTATATATATATTTTTTTCATTGACAATCACTTGTGAAGGGAGGCGGAGAGGGCTATCCAGCACTTTTAAGATACATGCTAAGGGCTATTTCCAAGGTATGCCATAGGAAAATGGAACTAGCACTCCCAGCCCTGAAGCCAAATGGAGAGTCCCTCGCCAGGCTAACAACATCACATTCCTGAGCTAGACAAATGATGAAAAAGTTCCAGTTACTGTCTAATGAAAGGCCTCCATCTCCCTTCCCCAGAGGTTTCCGATGCACATATAATTAGCCCTCAATATTTCATGAATATGGGGTTGACTAAATCCTTTTCACTCGGGAGATTTCACATTCCGAGTTTTACCATCCCTGGCACTTTGGATGAAGCCCTGAACATGGGAGAAGTTGTTGTAGTTTGGAACTGTTTCTTCACCTGGCTTTCAGTCTTCCTTACAGATCACCTCTCAGCCCAGCTAGGCGCAAATGTGAGCTACAAGGTGTGGCAAAGACCCAAAATGAGGGACACAAAAAATGATTCATGCAGGAAACTGCTAGTGTGCTGTGGGATTCATTCCTTTAGCGCAAATAATTCTTTCTCTAGCCCGTGTTTCAAGTTCTTTGTTTCTAGGACATGTGGGTGGAATGGAGCTAATTTCTGGACTAAAAAGAGTGACATCACTGACCAACATGTGAGAGATGCTACAGAGCCTGTTTCCGTCAAGACATTATGGAATAAATCTCCGTGTTCTCTTACAGTTTTCCATAGTATTATTTTAAAATTCTTCTGAGTGTAAGTAAATGAAATAATATGAGTGAGAGCGGGCAATGCATCTCTTAAATATAAAACAGGACACACCTCTCTTCTTAGTTTTCACTTGGTCCAATAAAACTAATACATACGTTCTTTGAATCTGTTTCAGTTTTCATGTCTGGCTCACTTTACTTTGACAGGGCCTAAAATAATATTGGCTTTAGGAGGCAGTAAAAGTTTTTTAGTGCTAGGCTCTGACGCTGTGGGCCAAGATTATCTACAGTGACTAGCGATTTGGGGGGTTTCCATCATTCCAACTTGAGACATCTTAAAGAGTGGGTGCTGAGCACTTTCTGCAACCCAAGATGTCTTAAACTGGGTGCTTAAAAAAGGAGACAAGCCCCAACTCACTAATCACTTTTGAAAATATTGGCTGATAGAACTTTTTCCTGTTGTGTAGGAATTAAGATCCAAAGCCTATTGAAGTAAACAGAAAGGTTCCCTGACTGAGTTTGCATCAGGTCCAAAATGAGTCAATAGGTTCCTGTCTCTGTGTAAAAAGCCCGTTCAAGACAGTTGAAAGGTTCCAGTGTACGTCAGTGGACTTTCGATCAGGCCCCAAATCATTATAAATCTCTCCAAAACCAAAATAACTATTTAAAGATGATTCCTTTTGAGAAGGCAAAGATTTCCCTCATGAGCTACTCATGATCTTGTGGTTTAAAAAAGAGAAGAATAGAATGATGATCTCCTCCTCGTGACCTCCAAGGTTCTTTGTATGGGTAGTAGGTTGTGCCTGGCATCTTATGTCTACACTGCAATGTAAGACTGGGTTCAGACTTAAGCGTCAGCCCAAACCCACCTTCTGTCTACACACAAATCTCTCAGACTCTGGCTTGGACCCTGAGGGGTTGGAGGGTTTGAGCCCTATTGCTTTGCAGTGTACACTCAGCTTCCTCTGCCCCCTCAATCCCCACTCAGGTCCTGGGAGTCTGCCAAAGTCCCACAATCCCATGGGCCAACTTCCTTTGTCCTCTCTATCAGAAGAATCTCCAGTTGACTTCAGGGAAATGAAAGCAGCCCCCCCTTGGTGTGGTGCAACAGCTCACTGAGACAACATTTAACCCTTCCATTGTCTTCTGAACACTGTCAGAGAGCCTGCTGTGTTTGCAAGGGGGTCTGAACCGAAGAGTCCTTTGCAAAGTAACACTGCTTCATGGTCATGGGGGCACAGCCAGATTTGGGTAAACCTCTGGTGCAAGGCCAGAAAAACAGAGGACTTTAGTAAGAGTACCAGGAATAACCATGCATGCCAGCAAAGAAGCTAGCAGTGTTGCTAATTTACTCCACCACTGACCAGTGCAGGGAGTGGATTAAGCGGCTGAAGAATGAGTATAGGAAAACCAGGAACCTGATCTGCATCTCAGGCAACTCGCCAATATCATGCCTGTTTTATGAAGAGTCTGACTGGGTGCTGGGCACCGCACCAAGTGCAGAGCCAATGGTGCTGCATGTTGACCTGGTCAGCCAGGATGGTGACCTGCTGGCCCCAGCATCCAGCATGGGGCATGATGGGAGCTAACAGCAGGTGCTGAGTCAGGACATTGAAGTGACTCTGTTGCTGAAACCAGTCCTAGAGGAGACTTTGGAGAAGCAGCACACCCTGGGCCATACTCAGTGGAGTTGTTTGATACCCTCCCCCACCATCCTCCCCATCTCCAAGGAACTGCTTGCAGCAAACATGGAAGGGACAGAAGCTGCCCCTGAGACCAGTACGCTTCTGGCTCCATGTTAATATTTATTAATACAGTGAGGGTGGGATTTCCATTCTATGAACCAATGCAAATGTTATTAGAAGCCCCAGCTCCCAGTGTGCAGCTACGAATGGTGGATTGTATGCCACCAGGGGGGCATGGCTCCCTCACCTCGTCACCCCCCTACCAGGTGCCTTTCAAAATAGCGACTGGGAAATGTAAATAATAAAAACTCCTTGAAAGTAAAGTTTGACTCAAGCAGGCACAGATTTTTTTGCTCAGGCAGTCCTATTTCTTAAAAATAATAACCTGACATTGCCAGGCCTGTAAGTATGCCACTCTGTAACCACTCACAGGTGTAACGAGCCATCTGGAAACAGTGAACTGATTGGAGAAGGGGGGGAGGAAATACTTTGCCTTTACAAATCTAGTTCACTTCAGTTAAAGGTAGTCCTTGCAGTCCATAGGTGACAAAATCATGGATGCCAAATTCGACTGAATTTGATTTTTTTCCAGAAATGTGGCAGGAGAGAATGGGGAGGAAGGAGGCTGGCTGTGGAGTTCTGTGTGTTTGCATTAAGCCATGCATAAGCTAATGCATCATCCTGTTGATTCCCTCCTGAATTCTGACCCAATTCTGCGTGCTGATAGGTGCAAACTTTTCCTGAAGCAGGGACTCCAGTTTGGTAGTCACATTTCAGGGACCTCGGTAGCTGACCAGCCCACGCAACTCATAGATGTGCTGTTCAGTCCCTATACATTTGAATGCTTTGGCTCCGTACACTGCGGGTTTCCCACCAGCAGCTTGGAATAACATCTCCCTCAGGCACCACAAAAACAGCGTTGGCCTCCAAAACGTGGAAGGCCTGAAATGATAGAAAAAGCTTTTGCAGCACCGCTCTTAATGGCACTCCCCTTATCCCCAACCCAAAGAATTCTGCGATGTTTAGAAAACAAAAAACAGCTTTGACTTTTTAACTTACCATTGTCTCTGCACTTCTTTCATTGCGATTAACCCGACTCTGTCTAGGGATTTTCTGTGGTCTGAAGTATCCCTCTCACAATAGACTAAAGTTCAGAAAAATAACATGTTATCTGAAATTACACGGGATTTTTTCTGTGCTCCTGCACTGTGCTATTTGAGACAATAACCCTCTGTGTCTTGTCATATTTCAGGCCTGTCGACTTCTATTGGCTGCAGTACCTCCACAGCTCGCCCACATTGCAGCAGAAACCTGGGCCAACATATACTGCCACAGACCATTCCAAGAGGAAGTGTTTCTGTGATGACCTAATGGTTGAAGTTCTGGAGAGTGCCAGCAAACAGGCTCAGTACCAAAGACAGAGGGACTTACAGCTAGAGTAAAGGCATGGTAAGAGGCAAGGAAAGGCTCAGGCTGGCTGAACAGCTTAAGGATGGGGTTTCAGGGCAGGAGCAGGCATTTGCTTCACGGTTCCTGGAACAGGAATGGGGGCCAAGGGAGGTGGACAGAGCTCAGCAGAAAACAACTGGGAAGTGGTCATGTCATTCATAAGCACATTGCATGGCAACCAACCTCCCACCAATTCCCCAGCACTGAAACCCCACTCCCCACCCCACAAGCACATCATAAAGCACTATTCCCCCTCTTCCCTTGGGCCATGCAAGTCCATAATGTGGGAGCACAAAGCATCACTGACTTCTGCTGCCCGGGTGCATCCAGCTCCAGCAGTGCTAGGCGGACTTTCTAACTCAGGGTACTGATTCAGCGACCCCTACCTGTCATAGATCTAGTCAGGGAGAAATGGTTCACTTCTGGCTTCACAAAGATTGTGAAGAGCTTAGCAAGCCACAGTTGTATGCACAGTGTTGATGATCCTGGAACTCAAACAGGTCTGTAAAGATCTCCAATGGGATTTCAATCTGCCAAAAGTATATTTAGCAACCAGCTGAGGGTATAATTAAACCATCTTTTGCCAGGACCTCTGAAACCAGGATACGGATTCATAAATCAAGGGGGGGGGACTTATGGGGGTCCCCCAGTATAACAGTGGGACAGTAACTCCATTGATGACAATAGCATTTGGTGGGAATAGTGTCCCAGCCTTCCATGAATGCAGACGCCCAAACAATGAAAATCCCTGGTATCATGAACTTTCCCAGTGTGGTCCACGAAGACCCGCATAGCAGTGGAGTAGAGCCCTTTGGAGTTTTCATGTGCTCTTTGCAGAGGACAAACAAGACCCATCCATGGCCCCAGCACCGTTTGGAAACCTCATTCTCTCAAAGCCATGAATTACTTCAGGAATATCTTTTATGCCTGCCACCTTGGGGTAAACGACATGCCTAATTGCCTTGGAAACCTCCACCACGACTTTACCTAGAGTCGACTTTCTAACACCTAACGTAGTCCAGTTTGAAATTCACACCCCCTGCAATTCACATCCCTCTAGTCCACGCTGCAGCACAATGCAGACAAGCTCTTACAGGGCCAGATTCGGTTTTGGGGTTCTGGCAAGTCTTTCTTCTTTCGCTTTTGCACTGACAGAGATGATTCCAGCTCTAATTTCTGGTGCAGAAAATCCATGTCTGTGACTTTTTGTCATCCTAAACAAGCCAACGCATGTGTGTGTGTGTGTGTGTAACCTCACAAAGCCATGTGACCCCTATTTGGTTATTTATTGATCTAGTGCATGGCTTATTTGCCTTCACTGTAAGGCAGAAGTTCTTCTAAAGCTCAGTAACCCTGAGATTGTCCCTTTATTGACCACATTAACCAGCGAGGGGCTTCAAGTCTCCTCACCGCAATTTGTTCTGGCAGCTTGTGCTGCCCCAATAGCTCACATTCTCCTATTGGTTTATCAATACAAACATTTTCCCCTCAGAACTTCCTTTACCAGAAAACATTTCACCAGTGTGATGCTGTGGGAGAAAGAACAATTCATTTGCCCATTAGGCCATTTGCTCTATTGATGCAAATTGGTGTAGCTCCACTGATTGCAATAGAGATATGATGATTTACACCAGCTGAGGATTTGGCCCAATTAAGACACACTCCTCCCCATGATCTGCCTTTCTCCTAAAAGTAGCCCTGTTGTCTTAATATTTTGATTAGACAAATGTAGAGAGCTTCCTTCCACCGTTCCTGCCACCTATGCCTGAGCACAGGGCCGGCTTTAGGAAGTGCGGGGCCCGATTCGAACAGTTTCGACGGGGCTCCGGCAGGGAACACATAAAAAAAACACGCGGGGCTTGTACTCACCCAGCCGTGCTCCTAGTCTTTGGCAGCGGGTCCTTCACTCACTCCAGGTCTTCGGCGGCACTGAAGGACCCGCCGCCAAAGACCCGGAGCGCCTCCAGGTGAGTAAAAATTAAAAAGGTGCCTCTAGCCAGGGAAGGGATTCTCTGCCACTTGCCCCCCAATCTGGGCAGCCCTGCCACTGGACGCGGGGCCCTCTTAGGCGCGGGGCCCGATTCGGGGGAATTGGTGGAATTGGCCTAAAGCCGGCCCTGCCTGAGCAGGATCCTATGCTGCTACAATGGAGACACCACACGTTACCCTCCCATTAGCGTTCCACTGTTGAAGGGTGGGTGGTTGCTGGTATGAAGCTGTTGCATCTTCTTCTGGCCCTGCTCAGAGAGAGAAATAGGGCTAGCCTGGGAGTTGTGGTGGAGCTGGACTGGCAGAAGGTTGTAAGTAACAAAGAACAGTTGTAACACCATTAGTATCACCGAACAGGCAGAATTATGGAATTGAGCACAATATTGGAAGACTGTGGGCTCTGTCCTGCTGGGCACAGTCCCATTGTCTTCATGTAAAAGATGTTCTTAGGAACTACGAGCACCATCTTTAACTACCTGGAGGGACAGGGGAAGTCATGGCCCATATGCCTCCTGTATGTACCTGAACAGCTACTCGTCCCCTCAAACCGTTGGCAGTGACCTGCAAGACATTTACACATTTCTTACATTTTCGTCTTCTGTGCAAGTCCTATGTGGAAGGCCCTCCCTGAAATCTGGTGGCTAAAATTTACTGATGTAAACATGGGATGACCTCACGTGTGTCAGCCCAATGGCATTGCCCTGGGGTAAGTGACAGAAAAATTTGGCCCTTTTGGTCATCTAATTTTTAAAGTGTGCATTTAGTACTAATTCATTTTCTTTTAAAGAACACAGCTGCTATTAATGGTTTAGGTGCCAAGGCTATTCGGCTATTGATTTACTGAGTCTCTTTGTTAATTTGCCTGTCAAAGATCCGGGGCCCACATCCACAAAAGGGAGTAGGCGTTGCAATCCCCACCATCACACTACCTAACTTTTAGGCACCTATTAAATCACTGGAATCCAGAAAGCCTGCGTTAGGTGCCTAGGTTTGGTGTGCAATAGGCACCTGAGATTGGGATGTACAAAAGCCAGCATACTTGGCAGGGAGTTGCCTAAGCTAGCTAATGGGAGAGGTTTATCCTCCGCCCCACTCACCTCAGAGAGTTTGGGGCTTTTTCTGCTTATGAGCTGTAGCCAGGAGCCTTTTGTGATAGTTCAGGTCTTGAACCCAGGCCTGGGAGTCTCCAGAGAGCCACATCCTCCACACAGTGTCTGCTAAAATTTGGGGGGCTGGGAAACTAGTAAGACTATAGCCTCAGCCAAGGCACCACCTATGGGAACTCTGATTGGAGGATCACCCGGCTCCACTGATTGGTCCAACTATGCTCTTTAAGCCAGAAAGAGGCACAGGACGTTTGTCGAGCAGCAAGATGATTCTGAATTCCTGTTGTGGCTGTATTAGATTCTGCTTGTGTCAGCCTGCTTTTGCTCTTGCTCCATACTTGATCCTTGCCTCTCCTCCAGTTCCTGCCCTTATACCTTGCCTCCAGTCATCAGTTTCTGGGCTTGACCCCTGGCTCGAGTAACTGGCAGTTGACTCTGGTGCTGACCCTTAGCTTCATGGCCCATCCTGGATGCCTGCTCTGCCCACTAGCCCTGACTCCTGCTCTGACTATTAGGCCAGCCTGCCTACATCTCCTGGAGTCAGATGGCTTAGGCACCTAAACCATTTATAATAATTAATGGAGATATCCTATCTCCTAGAGCTGGAAGGGACCTTGAAAGGTCATTGAGTCCAGCCCCCTGCCTTCACTAGCAGGACCAAGTACTGATTTTGCCCTAGAACCCTAAGTGGCCCCCTTAAGGATTGAGCTCACAACCCTAGGTTTAGCAGGCCAATGCTCAAACCACTAAGCTATCCCTCCCCTCCATTTCTTGTGAGAATGGTGCCTTCCTAACTTCACACACACCAGCAGAGGAGGCAGCAGCTAGTGGTTGGGGAATTCTTTCAGGGTATTGGAGACGTCAGTTCAATCCTTTCTCTGCCTGATGAGAAGGGATTTGCAGAGGGGTTCCTTACCTCTTAGGCGAGTGCCCTAACCACTGAGATGTGGGTTATTTGATGTGAGAATTTTGTCTGTTGAAGATGTTCCATTGTGTATTAAATAAAGATTAACTAGGCCAGAGAGAGTAATAATGATGCTATAGTCCAATGTTCCAGGACCCTCACCTGAGAGGAGTTCAAATCCTTTCTCCTTGTCAGACAGAAGGGGGGATTAAACTGGGGTCTCCCACATCCTGGGTGAGTCCCCTAGGCTAAGGGTTATAAGTAGGCTTGGCAGAATTTGGTGGTGGTGGTTGTTTTTTGTTTTTAGTGTTGATGGATAATGTCAATGTTTTGTTTTTAAGCCCTTTTTTATTTTTATCCATTTAAATGTTCACAGTTGCTGGAAATTATGGGGGGCTCAGTCAATAATTAATGACAGTAGATGTTTATTCAAAAAATAACAGAGTCCTGTGCCACCTTTAAGAGTAACAGATGTATTGGAGCATAAACTTTCGTGGGTGAATGCCCACTTCATCGGATGCATCCGACGAAGTGGGCATTCACCCATGAAAGCTTATGCTCCAATACATCCGTTAGTCTTAAAGGTGCCACAGGACTCTCTGTTGCTTTTTTACAGATCCAGACTAACACGGCTACCCCTCTGATACTATTCAAAAAATGAAAGCTTTATACACATTAAAACACAATTTGTCATCATCACATGACAAAATATATACAGTAAATATCCTTAAATCAAACTCTAAGTTCTCAAGCGGCATTTTTCTTACTTCATCCATACATTTTATTTATCAATGGAAATATATTTTCATTGGTTTGTGTGTGTCCAGTGAAATTGACACCTACTTACATTTATCAGTAACAATCTAATTCTCCCAAGCCGAGTTATAAGGTGGGCCCCCTCTAGCTGTTTTGTGTGCTCAGGCCCTGGAGACAAGATAGGCATTGGCCCATCTATCTTCCCTCTGTTTGAGATCCTGCTGGGCTGAGATAGCTGTCTGGGCACCTGTCTGTGCGTGCCCAGAGGCAGAAACTTAAGGGCCTAGGGGAGTTTTACTGCAAATATTTTGGTGCCCAGTGAGTTGAGGCCCTTACGGGGTTAAGTGTTAGCTGTGTGGGGATTTTGTGGATCGTAGTACTGCCTAAATCCCTTTGTGGATCCATGGAGCATACAAACCTCAGCAGCCAGGTAAAGAATCTTTTGGACCGAATTCTCAGCAGGCATAAATTGTCATAGTTCTGTTGGTTTCAAGGAAGCAGTACCAGTTTACACTTGTAGGGAATTTGGCCCTTTAAATTTATACCCACAGTAATGCACATCTGTGACTGGGGCACCCAGAACTCATTACAAGCTGAAATGACCCATGTTGCAGTTGCTTTTCCTTGGGTTGTTAAGGGCTTGCTTTCAAATGCTGGTTTCCAGCGACATCTTGTGGTTCCCTTTAGGTACTGCAAGCAAACTATTACACTCGCCTCTTTTTATTAGGATTCCTTACACTACAGCAGCTTTATGAAAGTCAGTTTGTCTTTTGCTCTTCTCATGATACTTTTGCCCTTTTAGGTGTGGTTGCTGCATCAGACAAATTGGCTCCCATATACTTTTGTGGCTAGGAAGTGAGTAAAAGTCCTAATTTCCCTGTACATGAACCTGAAGAATGACGATATCTCCAACTTGATGTTGGTGGGAACGGCCTTTTCAGTGTGTTTTAGTGTAAGGCAGATTTCCTTAGAGATTTCTTCTTGCATTCTAGAATAGTTGACACACACACACAACATCTTGGTGCATTGGTGAGGTCAAGAACATGATCCCATGTGTGAGCACCAGGAATTAACTTCCCCCAGCGGTTTCCTCATGGCTCACTTGAGGACAGGGCTGCACAGCCAGAGAACTGAGCCAACAGAAGCCATCAGTGACAAACAGTGGCAGCCTTGGAAAAGCAAGTAAACATTGCCACATGGAGGACAAAAGGGTATTTTTAACCTTTGATCCATCAAAAAAATCAATTAACAGGGAGAGAAATGTTAGACTTAGAGATGGTAATAAAGAAAGATGGGGCTTTACAATTTTTCAGAAGTAGAGGATTGTGTTCCTTTAAATGAAACAATATTTTTTAAAAATATAAACAAATGTCTATGTTGATTGGAAAAACTACTAGACAGTAATTTAACCCTCGGAGGCAATATTTATAAAGGACCCCTCCCTCCCACAGGTCTTTTTCCCGAATGTATCTATCACCAATGGTGATTTCTTTATCCCAATAATGCAATGGAAAGGCAGGTATAGAATAAGCAAACAAGGTATTTTATTAAACAAACCACAGAACCATAAAACCACTCGGTAGTTCACACCCTAATATTGGCAGTAATCCAGGACCCCAGAACAAATAAGTGGATAAAGAGAAATTAAATGAGTACATCACCATCTCTGCAGAGACACGCTGGACAGGTAACACCACAGACCACGGATCACGACTGGAACACAGACCACCACTGGAAAATGACAATGACAAGGACCACTTGGAACTTCACACAGGGTCAGGAGGGACACCACACAGGATCAATGGAGGCAGTAACACGATGATAGCAGGGCAGGTAAGTGAAGTCTTCTCCTCTTCTCTCTTGATGATATAGCAAGCATGGCTGCCACTGGGGCGGACAGCATTTGGTGCTGGGCACACTGTTCCTTTATAGTTTCCCATTGCTGGGCAGATTACCCATATTATGTGACTCTTTTCCTGCCACTATTTTCCCTGCCTTAGCTCAAAAAAACCTCGCCAACTAGTCAACAAGAACAGGGGACCAAAATGGAAGGCAAACAACAGCTACGAAAATAAAAATGGTGAACTGGCCCAACATCTAATAGTGCTAGTTTAGGGTTTGATTTGGTCACCTTTAGTCACACTGGGCCCCATACTAGCACTCATTCATGCTCAGTAGGACTTTGTTCCCTGAGTCAATCCGTTGGGATAAGTCATGGAGTAAATTACTACTCAACGTGAATAAGTCTGAGATACTTTTACTTTAGTGGACAGCGGGGCTACTCAGCGTGAGTAAGGGTGGCAGAATCAGTCCCATGAGGATTTATTCTGTTCTATCCTCTTTAAAATATTCAACCCCCATCACTATGGTATCTGAGCTGGCAATGCTGTTTGCTGTAGTTCATTGTCTAACATGGGATTGCCTTCACATTGCACAGAGAATTCTGTTACATGTATTTTGACACCAAGTGGTTTTTTTTAATGGGTTTCCCATGTATTCACACCAGCTCAGACTGTCTTGCTGGTAGCTACTTCGTCTTCCTTTCCCACTGGCTAATAACTTTCTTGGCACCAACTTTTCAACAGGTGGGATGAAATGTGACTGCTTCATTGCTGACGATGAGGAAAGATTTATGGCAAAAGACATGTTGCTTACAGTTTTATGGAGACTGCCTATGTAAAGACATATAATGCGCTATGGCAAGGGTCCCACAAACTCCGAGAGAGCCTTAGAACAGCCTAACAAATGATTGTCCAACTTGTCATGTATATTCTTAAAATCTGGGTGTAAAAACAGGATGTAAGCTGAGATCACTGAAATGGCTCTGTAGCTAAATTTTCCATGACTTTGGACCATAGAATGCTCCATCACTCATCCAGGATTAGATAAGGTATTACAGATTTTAAAAAATAGTTTCCCAGGTGCACCGAACAATGTTTTGCTAGTTGATTAGGCACCATGCTGAGCTGAGTCTCTTCAAGTAGCCATCAGCTCCTTGTCTTTGACTGCAAAAGCATTGTCCAAAACATGACTATAGCTTTTTCACATGAACGGGTCAGCAGATGAAGAAATCTGTCCCAAGGCCTTTCATTGAAGGTGCGCACCCTTTACAGATGGTGTCCAGCCTTTCAGATCCAAATCTTACCTGCTGTATCCGCATTAATGCTTTATATTGCTTTCCTTGAAGTAGCTTTATGTATTGTTACATTTTGGAATATACAAGTAGATGGTAGAAAATCCACTAAGTAGTGGATTTTCTACAGTGGCACATCCTTACAATACAACAAATACTTTTTCCATTACAACCACTAAATGTTATAAAGGCTGATGAACTGTAAAAGACCAAATGAAACATTGTAGTGTTGCCTGTTAAACCTATGGAATCAGTCTATTGTTTTGTTTTGTCAGCTGGAATGAACCATCCCATTAACTCAAAGGCTGTGTTTTTTTATATGTTACTAGATGAACCACTAAAGTTGACTGATGACTGTCCGTGATATATTAAGAATGGAACAACAGCATTCCTTGGGGTGGGAGAACAGATGTATTTCAGCAGAAGTGGAAGTTGGTACCTAAGGGATCCATCTGAGAGTAGTTAAGAAGAATATTGATGAATTTTTGTGTTTATTTGGGAACAGGAAAAATTGTTGGTCACCTTTAACTGGTATCCAAAGGAATTGTAATTTCACTAACAAGTGATTGTCTCCTAAGAGAAGTAATCACTTTGTGCTTGACTGCAAGGTGATGTAACCCCAAATGCTAATGGAAGCTTTTGACACATCAGGGCAAATTAATCCCTGGTGTAACTGCAACACTAAGGATAAATTTGGGCAGGTCTCCCTCTACAGGTGTGGACTGTCTGTGTATGCTTTTCTTCTCTGAGGTCATCATGTTGCGCTCTGACACTGATCAGAGAACAGAACAAGTAGTAGGTTTGGGTGAATATTTCCACATGTAGCTAAATTTAGGCCCAAACTAAAGATGCTTTCTGTATCTCCCTCTTAATTTATTATTTTGTCTTTATTCACGCAAAATTGACAGTGAAATACTCATTCATTTACGAGGTCCCAACTAAAAGCAGAGGCAGTTATTAACCTGTACCAAAAGGGGGGGTGGGAACAGAACTCTAACCTCACAATTAGCTATCATGTCTCTTGTAGGAACTCTCATTCTAGGACGGACCAAAATATCTCATGCCCTTTGCTTTTTAAAGCATTCTTTCAGAGACGGCATGTGTCTTCCTTTGTGTTTGGAGAGCAAACATTCTAGCCTGTTATATTTCTCATTGTCCTTCCATTGTTCAGTGTTTGGGTGACATGTATGTTAAAAAACATTTCATCTCTCAGCTGGATCTCAGTCTGAATTTGAAATTCTGCATAAGCACTATGCCTCACTGCAGTAAATTCATATTTATTAATCGCACTTTCATGGGAGAGTTGATCTCTATCCTAGCCTGTTTAGGCTACCTGCTGCGTGTAGTTCCTTACCTAGGTTTATAGCCAACATATTTTTCTTCTTCATATTATGTTTGCAGTGTCAGTATCAGCATCAGCGGGGGGGGACTTTAAAACATTGCTCCATTTCCGCAACTGCTGTAACTGTTTCTAACTTGCTAGTAATGCTACAATATAACCCTAGATACCGCATGATAGAAGTGCCTTTGTTGGTCTTTTCACGGCTGTTCCACTTTCATGCAGCAGGTAGCAGCACCATCCCCATTTCACGCAATGCACATGTGACCTCCCTCAGATCTTGCTTGTTAAAGGCAAACACTGCTCTACTTCTGCCTTCTAATGATCATCTCTTTACTTGTATTCATCAGTCAAATTTATTTCTTTTAGTGATACTGTGACGTTATTTACATGGATGTTAGACATTTTGGGGGCCCTAGTACAATTGTCCCTGGCTATCACTGTGGTATTGTATTCCCTTGAGCAAGGCAGCCAAGTCACAATTTGCTACCAACTAGTTAGAAGGTCTGTGTTTAAATCCTTTGGGGAAATCCTTTATTTCAACCTTGTGAGCCCCATTCAGCTCGTTCCGTCTCCTCCAACCCCTTTTCAGATGGAACAGCTGTACTCTGTCAACACAAACACTCCCGCTCACTCTTTCCTTCTAGTCAGGATCCCTTCTGAGTGGCTTACTAACCAGTGACAAGTGGGGAAAACATTGACAAAAGTCTCTTCGGGAAGTTGTGCTTCAACTTGACTTCCTCGTCTGCATCTGGCTGCTTGTTAGAATCTCTGCAGACAGCCCTGGTCAGAATGAGGTTCCAGGGGAATTTGGGTGAGTCTCTTTGCTGGGCCTACAGTCCAGAGAGAGCTCATTCTACTAGTGCTGTGGTCTCTGGAGATGCCAGAGAACAATAATTCATATTATTCACAGCATAGCAGCGGTACGACCTGCTTACGTACAGCCTACCAAAGCGTAGCTCAGAATTATGCTAGTCAACCAATGTCACAAAATCAATAATGAACAGACAAGAAGAGGTCAGACTCTTGGACCCCGTGTACTGAATATCTTCAGCTGTGTGTGTGCCCTGCTACAACCTCATCAATGTTCATGACACCTCACCTTCATGCCATCCATGAAAAGGCCCTCAGAAAGGGACACAGAAGTAGCATGCAGGTTCTGTTTAATATTATGGAGGAAACTTTTCTATCTAGTAAGCTGGATGGGTTAAATCTAGGGATGGAAGAAACTTATGGAATTCAGGGATTCTACAAAACTCTCAGACTAAAGTTGTGTCTACGTAGTTATATATAGGTCTTGGCTGACCTTAAACCCCTTCCCAAGTGATGCAAACTAAACCATAGAAAGACCCTCTTCTGCTGGAATAAGAGTATCCGCATGGAGATTTTTCCTTCTCCCCATTCTCTTCTCCTTCATTTCACAATCTCACCTAAGTAGAACATGACCCCAATAACATTCAAGTAAAAAATATCAAACCTCGCAGGATTTGAGTGAGTTTGAAATTCAGGGGAACCCAGTTTGCCCATCCATAGACAATCCTTACATTGGCTCCTGAGCATGAACAGCTATTGGTCTAACATGCCACAGAGTCCTTGGGAATGGCAAGACTCAGATGGTACTACTACTACCGGAAGAATCTTTAGCATATCTTCTTTGGGAATTACATTCTAAACCCAACACTTAACCAGGTTAGTGAACCAACTAGACAGCTGTATCAGTCATTTAGCTCATTAGGCAGTAGAGATAGAAATGCTTTGAAGACAGGATTCGTAATGCACAGAAATGCCAATTAATTCTTACTCAATGCCACCAGTAATCAGAAGGAATGACTTACCCCTATTATTGCTTTGCAGTTGAACGTGGCCCGCTTTAATTCCTTTTTGAGGTATCCTCTTTGGCTTCCATATGAAATATCCATCCAGTGTTCTGTGTTGCTGTTCTTCCCCGGCATTTTTGAGGCCTCTGTTTCACATCAGCTAATCGGTATGGGGCGAAGTAAGTGCCTGAGCAAGTAACTTTTGAAGAGTGCACCTACAGATTGTCACTGCGTTAACGGGTCTACCGCTGAGCCACAGGAAGAGAAGGGAAGAAGGAGGCTGCACAACCTGCTTCTCCTAGTCATGGTTTCCTGTTGAAAATGATTATGAATAAGCTTCATTACTTGATTAATTTCACAGCTTCATACAAGCGAAAAGAACCAGGGAGAACGCAACTGTAGGTCTGGTGTCTCCTAGTTAAAGCCGCTGACAGCTTTACTTGATGTACGTTGCTGTGAATCATTTCTGGGAGCTTGGTGGTGTCAAGCCTTAGAAGAATAAGATAGCTGGAAATAGAGTTGATGATGACAGAGCCAAAGTCTGGATTATCAGGGTCTGATCGTCTGCTGGTGTAAATCAGTGTGGCTCCATTATGCTCAGTGGAGCCGGACACTGACAAAAGGTTTGTATTTAAATACAGGTTTGTATTTAACAATGTGCAAAGCTGTATGGTCAGTTTTTAATGCCAACTTTCCTAAAAGAATGAACGTTAAACCCATTCCATCCCAGCTCAACAAAGCTGATTTAAGAGAACGAGGTTGAGGCAAATGTATTATTCCCTTATATTTGTTTGCCTGAATGCTTTGGGCCCAAACCTGTGTGGTATTGGGCCCCTTCAACTTCCATTGAAACCAATGGGAACGAATCATCACTTTGCAGGACTGGGCCCCTTAAAAGAAGGGACTTAGGCTTTGTTTACTGTTCCATTTGCCCTGTGGATTTGAGCAGTGATATTTCACAGATGAAGATTAAAAATGATCTCCAGGTTTTCACCTTCAGAAAATGCATTTTTATTTCTGACCAGTTTTTCCATACAGAGAAGTCTCGCTCTTTCACCTAGAGAGAGACACACTTAATTACTGAGAACACTGAGAACTTAATTGGAAGGGTTTTCTAATGGATAGGCTCAGAAAACTCTTGGCACTTCCAAAAACCAGGGGCTACGCACAGCACTAACTGCTACATATTTTACCTGCAAAATATGATTTCTGTAATAATGGCATTTGCCACCTTGATTGGCCATCCTCAGAATGCGTCCCAATAGCAGCCACAAAGGATATAATTTGGCAGGTATTTTTGGCTAGTTAAGTGATATCACTGACTTTGTATGAAGGTTGCAGCATAGAAAAATTCTATTGTGGTATCACAACTTCAGGGGTAAACTTTTCTGTATTAAAACTTACCAGAGCATCATAGGAACATGGTAGGCGTCAACATGCCCACGCTGGGCTTTTTCAGTTCCTGCCAATGTCTATCTGAAAGACAAGCCAGGACATATCTGCACAGGCCTGCTTGCAATGAAAAATCTAGCTGTGACTAGAGATGGGCCCAAACCAAAGCACTGGTTCTAAGTATCCCTAAACTTTGGGTATGTGGACTGGGGAGGTCTGACATCCAGATCCAAACTGTGTGCTTCGATCCCCTCCATGTATAGCTACAGGTAAACAGCCATCTAGTACTGTACCACAAGATGGAGCAATTACAATGCTATATGTCAGGCAGCTTGTTAAATGAATCTCTGGTCCATGAGGCACAGAGGAGCTGTTTTCATTTGTCTCTAGCTGCTAATGATCCCAGAATCATTAGTAGGTTTAATTGCTTCTCCCCCCGTACCCGGACCCAAGTTCGACGTAGTCCATGTAGGGGTAAAACCCACCACCACATCCCCTTGTGCGAGCGTGTAGTTCTAGTAAGAATAAAGGGCTATGTCTACACTACAGCTGATGTCGGCATACACTCTCTAGTGTACCATGCCCTAGTTCTGACCGGACGTCCACACTGCAAAGAAAAATCTGTGGCACGGAGTGTCCGAGCCTGAGTCAATTGACTTGGGCTCATGGGGCCCAGGCTGCGGAGCTACAAATAGCAGTGTAGATGTTCCTGCTCGGGCTGGAGCCTGAGCTCTGAAAGCCAGTGAGGAGGGAGGTTCTTGGAGCCCAGGCTCCAGCTTGAGCGGAAACATCTACACTGTTGTTTTTAGCCCCACAGGCCGATTCCTCCCGAGTCAATGGACTGGGCTCTGAAAGTGAACAAAAGGGTGCTGGGGGAGCAGCCCCACTGTCTGTATGCTCAGCCACTC